CTGATGTATGAATTTTCATGTTGATGTAATGCTGCTGAAACTGAGAGCAACTGTAGATTTTCAACAATCCATGTTCACAGAACTTGGTGGTAAAGTCATATGCTGCTCCTGAAGACCAAGGCTTTGCTGAATAGCTTTGAGGTTGCTTATGGAACCAAGGTCCCCCAGTAATCCCAGGGTTGTTAATGAGACATGGATCTCATAAGACAGACTGGAGTAATACATCCTGAATCACAGTTTTACCTGTGATAAACTTTACCTGGATAATCTTGTGTGACAGAAGCATGGAAAAGGAATTCTCTTTGTAGATAAATGTTCAAAAGATATCTTTATGTCACACAGCATTTCATGCACTCTGAAGATTTATACTTATGCATTTAGAGCAGATTAAATACAAAATAATTGTTTACAACTGTAATTAAATCTTAAAACAGCTTGTCAGTAGATAGTGTTAAGCTAGGACTCAATCTTTACCTCCCAATCACAATTAAAAATTGCACATTGCTATTTAATCTTCAATAATTTCTTAAAAATTACAAGGAAAGACTTGCCCAAGAAGCTGAAAATTATTAAATATCAACAAATAAAAGAGGTCCTAGCTATACCAAAGAAATCCCATGCACACAATTTTGCATGTTTTGGCTTATTCTCCTAGTACTCTCCCAGGAATCAACAGGAAACGCTTTGACCAGCCCGAAGAGAGCCTCACAAGATCCCCTCATCAACACCAAATGACTGTAATTATTGTATTGAAGAATGTAAGACAAAGCATCTGCCTGCCATCACTGAAGAATGTGCCTTTCATTGAACAAAAGGTTCAATATCCCAATCAATTACAGGAGGAAAATAATAAATACAGGCCTCATCAGCTTCCAGAAACAATTATTCTCAAGCGCTTCAGATATTTGTGTCTTCAGACAAAGATCAAACCAATTAAAAGATAAAGCTGCAAAGTAATCCACTCTGCAATAAAGTATGTTTTATCAGACACAGGAATTTTAGCCAAATATGCAGTCATATGTGCTGCAAATACTCAGCAGTTCACTCAGCCTGTAGTACATAACACATGTAAGCCATTTCTTGTAAGAAGAAAATAGTCCAATACTTAACCCACCAAGTTCAGTTAGTTTTACCATATCACTAAATCTTCATATTTCATCATAAATATCAGAACATTCAAGCTAAGGTTACAGGTAAACTGTGTCCTTCATAATAACATACTCAAAAAGTTTGGAAGATTGTCTGTTTCTGTTTACTTGGTTCAGTCAGAAAAAAAGATAATTCTTACTGAAACTAGGATGTTCATCAGCAGGATACACCTCAACTGTTTGCTTTACTACATATCCTTTATCACACTTTCTGATCCTTTTTCTTTGATTCACCACACCTTCATAAGGAAATTATTCCATTTAACTCAACTGTGAATTGTGTTTGGAGGATTTGGTTTTGATTTCAGCCACACAAGTGATATTGTGTTTGACTATTTGTTCAGGCTCATTGAAAATCTTATTTTGATACTGTATATGATTCATACACTCCTGAGTAATAATGAATTTCATGTGTGTGCAGATTAGTGCATGTGTGTGTCTGTACTTGTGTACACAGATAGAGAGGAGGTAATATTTTCTAAGATTAAAAGATTCACCCATCTGGAATCATTCAAAAAGGAAATACATGGTGGAAATTTGTGGTAACTTTGAAAACCTCAATACACTCTACATGGATAAACACCATAGGAGGATTAGACATATATCAATCAATTAGTTTTTGATGAAACTTGCATTGAATAATCAGTATCAGTCAGGGACACTTGCACCCCATCATAATACAGATCCATTCTCACACATACAATCTCAACCGTAACATGAGTACCTAGCCAAGAAGAAAAGCATTGCAATAAATATACTAAAAAGGGCTTAGCAAAAATTCTAAATCAGTGGAAAGTACAATGCTTCTCAAAACTCTGGGAACTTACCAGACTACTAGTTTGAGACAAGTCCAGCTCTATATCTAACAAGATCTATTTCTGTTCAGTACATTTGTTTGTTTATTCTCCATATTAAGTAGGGGATAAAATGCAGATATTCATGAAACCGGCAGCAGCAGCTCCCTTTTGTTTAGGATCATCCATTGTTGAACCATTTTTCACTGCAGCCAAAGGGCCTGTTTGAACTTCCTGACTGTTCATCACACATAATTTGGACTATTTAACATTATGTCAAGAAAATTGCTCAGTGCTTCCCAATGGGAACCTATGAGATCTCTATATCCTTGAACTAATTTTACTTGAAGTATTCCACTGAATAGCATGACTGTCTCCCTATAATCAGTGCAGCAGTAATGTAATTAATCTCAAAATTGCTGTGGGGAGTACAAGGCATCTCAGTTGCTTGTCGTAACAATCTAAATTAGCGTATTACTGAAAGATGTTCAGGAGGAACAGTTCATATTAGGTAAATGCTGTCAGAGTATCTATCCTTTCTATTTCTACAGCTAAATTAAAACTATCATCATATTTCACACCTTTTGAAATACAAATGAGTGTTTTGAGGTGGGAAAGCATAATTAAATTTGATGTGGTATTCCTGCAGACGCATTTTTGAATTTTGTAATAATTAAATTTATTTTAATAAAAATTCATGTTTTATTTAGAAAATAAAAACTGGTTTGGCTCAAAGCATACTATTGTATCACAACAATTCCCCTTTGTCACTGAAACTTCACAGACAGTTGCTTCTTCTTTTCCTAAGCAAAAAATTAATCCTGCTCTTTTACTTTTTTACAGCCAAACATTAACTATTTTATTTAGTGATATTTTGACCAGGCATGCAACTACTTAACTTACAACAAATCTCAGAGAAGATCTTCAAATAATTAAATTTTTTAAAATATTCCACTAATAATAGGGATTAATTATAATACATTATGGTGAATAGATGATGCAGATGACTGAAATTGCATATTTTGTGTCATTTGCCCTAGCTCCTCTTGTCAGGAACTAAACCAAAACTTAAATGAAATGAAAAAATTACCTTAATAAAAAGGATATGAAAAGCAATGAAAGTTGTAAATTTGGGCTAGTTAAATCTGTTATTCCCTATGGAATATACAAAAATATGAAGTCTTCTCGGTTTGCTACTCTGTAAAAAATCAGCAGACTAAAATTTAATCTTTTAAGGTCAAAAGACTATTTTTTCAACCAGAGATAAGGGAAAAGAGTTGGGCAGAAAGCTGAAAGCATAAAATCTGTTCAATGAATATACTCTCCAATGTTAAAATCATAAGACAGCACATTTCTCAACTGAAAGTCATATACTTCATTTAGATCTTGTTTTTTTAAGTAATGATCCAAAGCAGGACATGGAACAATCCAGAGAGATTATCACCTAATCTGCTCTTTTAACATATATAAGAAATCAAAATGTAAGTAAAACAAGCACTGAATAATTAAAGAAATGCATAACAGTAAGGGCCTGATTTAATTTGCATAATTTTTCCCTTAATAGTGCCTAATTAAGACATCAGTTAAAAAAAAAATTCCAACAGAACTCTGAGATTTTCCACACTGAATTAAGGCTAAGGACTTTTAATGGGTGTCTTAATTAGACTTTGTTATTCATGGAAATTTTACACAAATTAAAATCAGGTCCTGCATGCAACATTCCCAGCTGAATCTCAGAAAAAATGCTATACAGGATTGAAAGAATTTTAATCTATGTGCAGATAGCAATTTGTATTCTGAAGTCAACATACTCCATGCTCAGTTTTTGGTTTAATTTGCAGTAATACTGCAAAAAACAAAACACACATAGTCAGAATTTCTTTCTTCAAAGTAAATTTTGATTTTATGGACCCACCTTTTTTCCTTTTTTTGTTACTTAAACATATAGGAAGTCATGCAACTGAACCAGGAAATTAGCCCATGGGGACAATAGCCACCATGACCTTTTGCACAGTCCAAAGGGTACAAATCTCTTATTCAACTGAGAAAGTTTGATTCAGTCTGAAGTCCTATTGCTGCTGTAACCAAAATGAATGCTGCAAGGCCTGTCATTATTGGTGAAAAAAAATCAATCTAAGCCCAAAGCAAAATACTGTCATAGCAACCCCTTCATCCCTGTTAAGAAAGGCCTTCCAGAGGAATCTAACTCTTAGGAGAAGGAAAACCTGTCTCTTCAGTTTACATACCCAAGGCTCTTACAGAAAACATGCTAAAGAAAAAGCAACAGGGCTCCACAAGAGCCTTTCGGAAAAGGCATCGAAAAAATAACAGCCTGAGCAGCAAAGATTACATTACATTGACATTGGACATATTCTAGTTATTGACAAACCAAGTCTCAACTCTAGTTTATCCTGTGGTGCAGATCACATTGGTAATGCTGTGTGCTGGGAAAGCAGTTTTGCACACAGTCCTTCACAAATTACTTCACTAATGAAGAACATGTTAATTTCCAATATCAGACACAACTTTGAACCCATGCAGTTGCCAGGAACGCATCTGCTATGGCCTGTTCTCTACAAAAGGAAAAAAGAAGAATTTGTACATCTGTGTTGTGCTCACTATTCAAAGAAATATCAATGCCTACTGAACAGGGCAAGTGCTAACATGCAAGAGTTTATTTCCATCAGCAGGCTATAAATATACCTGTATGTCCATGCGTGTACTTGGACATGCGTGTGTCTCGACACACTCTTGGCAGTGGCAGATTTGCCTCTGGTGGCCCAACCTGCAGGAGAGGTGCAGGACCAGGACCTGCCCTGTTGCTGCTGCCAGGGCTTTCAGTAGAGTATTTTTCTTGCACTTGGCAGAGGAAAAGCAAGTAAATATGATTAACCAGCACCCTTTATTCCATCACAACAAACAGGATAAATGGTATCATTTATATAGCAGCTCCAGATTTCTTTAAGACCAGAATTGGCAAGGCACTAGTCTAGATGCCTTAGAAGACACATATTCCTCACAGGATTTGTTTTGGAGGGTTCACATAATTTTACAGTACCTGGCTAGTCTGCGGGCTGGACGGGTCGTAAGAAGGTACATAGTTCTTCAGAGTATCCTGAGGGTTCAGGTGGGGAGGATATCTGATCGTTGGATGAGAGAAGTAGCTAGATGGGGCAGGAGGGAGAATAGCTTGTGCTGGAAATGGCAATGGTGAAGGTGGAGGTGGAGTTCTAGTTGAGATGACTGGAGAAGATAAAATAAAATTAAAATTACTTCGCATCTTGTTTCTTCTAAAATTCTTCACCTCTGTGTTACAGCAAAGAAAATAAAAAGTCAGTTATAAATCAATGTATTTCACTCTGTATTTTTATAGAAAATCTTACAGGTACTGCCCTCACATTATCCCAGGAAATGAAAAGTGCAACTGTTTCAAATTCATAAATAGTGCATCTTGCTTTGGTTTTGTGGGTTATGCCATCATAGTTTTTT